AAATTTTCTGTTATAAAGTTAAGAAGATTTGGAAAAAATGAGTTGTTAACAGAATCAGAAGCCACACAGAAGAGCCTGGAATTGAAACTGATGATTAGGAGGTTATCAGCGTCTTTCATTTCATCTGTAGTCAAATTGCACACATATAAAAATATATGTTATAATGTGTCATTAAAGTGGCATAAAATTACATGGTATTTCAGGGAGGGATAAAAGAAGATGACTTTGGCCAGAGTAACTGTGTAAATCTTAACAGGCCAATTGACATTCATCTTGACACACGTAAATAGAGTTTTGACATGGAGACGAGAGTAAGAATAAAGAACGGAAGTACAAAAGGGCAGAATTTGCTTGGAGAATTGAAAGCAGCCAGATTTTTTTTTATGGGAGCATATTATAGAAATGTAGGGTAGAAGTGTACGTTCTTAATTATCACAAGAAAAATTAAATTTCATATTTCAATAGTTGTGAAAATAAAGTGCTGTAACTCTCAGTACTGTGTACTAAAATCATTTCATTTATTAATTTCTAATTGAATCACTGTAAGATAGTGCTTTACAAAATTGTTCATGATTGCGTTTCAGTCATATAATGTTCCACCACCCATCCCTCCACCAGTGTTATCTCCCAGCACCAGTGTCCCAAGTTTTCCTCCCACCTGTTCAAGCCACCCTCCACCCAAGCCTGCCTTTATGGCAGGCACCTCTCTTCTCTCTCTTTCTCTTTCACTCTCTCGTTTTCGGCATTATGGTTTGTGATGCAGATGCTGAAAGGTTATCATCTATATCCCTTTAACTGCTTTCAACACTCAGCTCTTGTTCAGAGCGGTGATTTCTAATTAGTATTATCATTATGGACCCTCCTCTATCTTAACTACCCTCCATCCCCCACACCATTGACCAACCTAAAATAATTTCATTTTGTAGCGACTTTAAGTTTTTTCTTTGTGATTTTAAAATATTATTCAGTTATTAATACATTGAATCAGATTGAAATAACTAGGTTTTCTGTAAAGTACTTTTCTTTATTTTTGTGTGAATATGGCTTGATCTTTTGGGCTCTCCAATTTTTTAATCTCTGAAATAAATAATTGGTCAGTTAGTTCTCTGATTCCTCCCAAATATGATTCTATCACATCAAAAAAAATTTTTTCACTGTCAAAGAAATAGTACCAAGGTCAAGTTACTTGCCTTGTATTTAGCCAATCCTGGTTCAATCTCTGGCACATGGTCCCTTGAACATTGCCAGGAGTGAGTACTACCCTGTTTGACCGCCAAAACAAAAATCTTTTTTCATAAAAGTAGCAAAGTATATATTTTATATATTTCGACAGAATATGTAAGCTACATAAATTAAATATAAATTATCACACCATGACAGTTCAGTCATGTGCAAAGCAAGTGTCTTATCTGTTTTAATATCTCTTCAGCCATGTTCTTTTGAATTAATGTTTTCTTTTGTTCTAGATGCTCAGAATTGAATTTAGAAACAAATGCAGGGAAAAAAATAACCAAAACAGGCCTATATCAAACCAAAAAGTCTCTACACTATAAAAAAAAAAAAGTGAGCCCAAAATACCAATACTGTGGGTACTTGATCACTGTATAACTGAAACCCAAGCACAAAAATGTGTAAGTCTATAACTGTACCTCATGGTGTTTCACTAATAAAAAAATTTAAAAACAATACCAATACTGTAATAAATAAGAAAAAAATTCACACAACATATATAAGGTAAAGGGCTAATATTTAAAATATGTAAAGTACTCTCAAAGCTCAAAAACTATATACCCTCGTCAAAAAAGCGAAAGGAGTTACTGAAAAGAAATTTCCCTTTACATCACTTTGTATGATATTATTATTCCTCTGCCCCTCTCAGAGAGTCCGGCAAGCTACTGAGAGTATCTCGCCCGCATGGCAAAGCCTGGCAAGCTACCGTGACATATTCAATATGCCAAAAACACAGTAACAAGTCTCAAAAATGGAGACATTACTGGGCCCGCTTGAGGAAATCAGTGAACAACGGGAGGACAGTGACAGTGACAGTGATTATTCTGACAGAGACTAACTAAGGTTAACTAGTAATTACTGACTCTACACTACCAAACTTGCAGTGTCCATTCTGAGTAATTGGGTACTCACACTACCACTTAAAAAGAAACACTGGAAGCCACAACTCAAAAGTACTATTAACCTCAGTCTATAACTGATAGGAAGAATAGGGCAGATTCAGAAAAATTAAGAGAAAGTAAGAAAGTACTTCAGACAATTATTTTCAGGTACTCCAAGTAGTGGCTTTATAAAATTCTATAATGTCATATTCCCTTCTGAGATTGGAAGAGAACCCATACAATGGCTCGGGATAAATTTCTCTTCACTACAATTTCTAGGAACTATCAACTGCCTTCTCAGTCTCCTCAAAGGTCTAAAAAACACTCAAAGGGAAAATGGCCTAATTTAATTTTTTTGTTTTATAAATATCTAATTCTCCTAACAGTATAACACAAAACTCACTTCTTTATATATATAAAAAAACTCTTCCTTCAAAACAAGCAAATGAGTAGTTCTTAAACTTAAGCAGTCGTAATTAGTCTCTAAAAATAATATTTTTATGGTTTCTGAAATCGTTAAAACAAGAGTGCTGTAAATTTTGTCAACTGTTTTTCTTGATAATGCGATTCAAAATCAAAGTGAATATGTGTGAGATAGGCAATAAAATCTCAACAAAGGTCAAGAATTGGGTTCATTCCACTACTTGTGTGGAATACCATCCAAGGAGTTATATGCTTTAAAATAATTGCTGTCATGAAATTGCTATTTCTCATTGTTTAATTCTCTATCTGCTTATGCACATGCATTTGTATACATATATGTGTATATACTTACTGTAGCACTGTCCTCCCGTTGTTCATCGATTTGCTCTAGTTGGCACCAGTAACGTCTCCATTGCGAGACTTGTTGTTACTGTTTTTGGCATATCAAATACATCAGGGGTATCTTGCCAGGCTTAGCCATGAGGGCAGAATACTCTCTGTAGCTTGCCAGGCTCTTCGAGAGAGGCGGAGGAACCGAACCCAGGTTGGCCATGTGCAAGGCAAAGCCCTACCAACCTGCTATGCAATCGCCCCGGCCCATATTTACTGTACACTGTTAAAATTCTGCCTCACAACTACATTTTTATGGGGCCGATAGAAACATTATCCATGTATTTGTAAGATAGAAAATCATTCTTAAGGAACAGAAAGAGAAAAGATAAACTGTAATATTTTTATCGAACTCCACTTTGGCCTGATATAATTAAAGTAAAGTTAGAAAATTCAGGAGCCTGGTCATGAGGAGTAATGAAAGGGCTTATCGATTTTACTAATAAATAACAAAATACTGCCAGAGTAATTAATTTTATCTGAAAATATAATTTAGCTGGTTAGAGACTTTTCATTTTGTCTTATTACAAAGGTCAGATAGCATACATTTCTATCAATCATAACTTCGAGAAATATATTTATATAAGACATAAAACTTTGCCAGCTAATAGTAATACTGAATATGAACTTAGTGATAATCCTGTTGGTTCTAAATATTTTGTCATAAGAGAAGTTATAGTGACAGTTTCAAGATAACACAAACTGAAGATTTTTCAGTTTAGAAGTGTGAACAGAAAAGGGATTCCTGTTGTTAAAACTAGCAATCCTGACAAAAGAAGTGGATATTTGTTTTAAATAAATATGCATGTGCTGCTATCTTCTATCACAGGAGATGGCACCGTGATAGATGGAACTACATACTGGTAGAGCCTCTATTTATAGCTTCACTTGACCTTTTTGTTCTCAAAATCCCCAACTTATCATATCACTATTAGACTTGTGACTGAGATATTTACCAGTGCCCTTGGCTCTCTCTCATTTCCTACAAGATATCTTAAGAAAGAGGAATAAATGCTATGAAATTGGCTTTATTGAAGTAGCAAAATTTTAGACTATTATAGTAATTTGAGTAGTAATTTGAGCAGATGAACTAGCTAATAAGCCCCATGTAAATTTAAATAGCAATTAAAATTTTCTATATGTTAAAATGGACTATTCTAATAATAAAATATTTGTAATGGGACCTGGCAAATTTAGAGCATATCTTGATTTTGATGCAGGATCATCATGTAGAGAAAAATATTTTATAAAACTACTTTAGCTAAAATGTAAACAGTACTTATTAATCACATAGGGAACATAGTGTTTTCAACTATACTCTTCATTTATCTGTCACAAAAGTTGACATTCATTTTAGAAAGCTCGTAAAATTTAGAAACATCAAAGGAAGATATAAAAGAGCAATCCTAGTTTGGGAATGTAGAACAAGGTTTTGCTGACCATAGTTTGCATCAGGAGGTTCAGTTCTATCCTCAGCACCAAATGATCCTCTGAGCACCATCAGGAATAACCATGAGTGCTGAGCCAGGAGCATTCCTCTGCACTATTGTGTATCCTCCGCAAACAAAAAAAATAATAATAATTTAAAAACCAATGGTAATGCCACTGCCCAAAAAAGATATCTAAGAAAACGAGTACAACTTTAAGTATGTTTAAATATCAATAAACTGGCATATAGTATGCTACGAAACTTGCTGTCATACTAAGACTTCATTAATGAATCTGGTATGAAATAAGTGAACATCATAGAGGGTGATTCTAAACACCCAGAATTCTTTCTTCACTATTCCTGATATATTTATATTGCATATGGAAGCGATGATGTGCTATGGAAATATTTACCCATTTGGGCATTCAAATTTTGCCATGAATGTCAATTTCTATTTTTTCCTTCCAATGTTTTAAATTTTAATCTTTTAATAACAATACATCTCCTTTTACTCTAGGAGAATTATAATTGAAAGCTGTCAGCTTCTATAGATGCTTCTACAATAGGAAAACCTTTCTTCCTGCCCCAACACGGGCAGGTCGATTTTCATTGAAAATGGCTTCAAGCTGGTTCTAATATTTACTCACTTATGCAGGTGCGTTCATCAGCATGGAGTCTGTATCCAGGATCACATTCACAGTGGAAGGTGCCCAGAGTGTTAATACAGCGCTGCTGGCAGCCTCCATTCACCACCGCACACTCATCGACATCTAGAGGAGGAAGACAGATGGCCAGGATTACAATGTCATTTCAATGTCAGCTTCAGAGAAGTGCCACAATATTTCTTTGATACCCAGTATGTGTCATATTGTACAAAAGTACAGTCTCAGTTGCCACAAATTTTTGGTTGGTTGATGGATTTTGCTCCACGGTATAAACAAGAAAATATAGAAAGAAACTTCATTGAGCTTTTGAAAGATGAGTGTAGGAATCATCTCACAATTTTTTTTTTATTCTCCACACACTGGTTAATTAGATCTGAGATATGGATATTTCCTTAGGGAAGGAAAACTGGAGAGGAGAATTAAATGAGCTATTCTATCTGGAGCAACATACACTAGTAGATAAACACCTATTATTGCTCTGAGGCTGCTGAATAAAGACCTTGAATAGACTTAAGACCTTGAATCTTCTTCTCACATGCTATGGCAGACATCAGAGTAGAAGCATGTAAGTAAAAAGAAAATCATGTTTTAGAGTAATTAAAATGACATAAATACATTTGCAGCTTTGATTCAGTTTTTTTCTGCTTCATTCCGCACTTCACTTTCTAAAAACACGTAACAACTTTACCTGAGAGTTTATTTATTAAAAAAACAAAAAAGAGAGTGGGTCATAATTGCCTATACCTAATGATCAGCGGAAATAAATAAATAAAATATTCCTTGAAAATGACATTGATTTCTCACGATATATATTTGTTGCACTTGATTTAATCAGCTGTTAGTTACCTAAAATCACAAGAGATATGTAAGTACATATATAGAGAAAACTTTTTAGATAATCGGTGTAATAAGAGCTTCTAAAATTTCATTAAAATTTTTTTAACTTGGATTATACATCTTTTATTTTATTTTATTATTATTATTATTATTATTATTTTGCTTTTGGGGTCACACCCAGAGATGCACAGGGGTTACTCCTGGCTCATACACTCAGAAATTGCTCCTGGCGGTGCTCGGGGGGCCATATGGGATGCTGGGAATCGAACCCGGGTCAGCTGCGTGCATCTTTTAGCATCTTTTTTACATATTTTAGCAAATACTAAATTATAGGCATAGAATTTTATATTAGCATGAAAGAGCATGTGACTAAAGCAAGACATATCTCTGAATTTCCATGTCCGCAATCCCTGATGTTCTAGAAAATATTCTGACAAATATTCTTCACTAACATAGAAATTACCATAAACAACTACTTTTACATTAAATAAAATTATTTCACAGGTAATTATACTTACTGGAGAAGATAACAATAAAGAATATAGTATTATAATGTCTCATCATAGTACCTTTTAATCTAAAACCTAATCTGCAATATTTGTATTGTCACATAATCTAGAGGACTGGACTTAGATAAAACAAAAGTTTTCCTTAATTATGTAATATTCTTATTATAATGACAAATTGTAACTGAATAATATCATACATTGCAAAGGAAGTCTCATGCTTTATTATAGAACATTGGGTTGGGGGATTCACATATTATTAAAGGTGATACTCCTTGCTATATTCTGAGTGTTGCTGGAGGTGGTTCTTGGGAGACCATGAGTTGTGAGGGTCAATTTTGTTAAAGGAAAGCACTTTAATGCCTGCACTATCTCTGGATCCCACATTAAAAAATTGCTAACTTACATATTCTTCATTTTTCTTTATTTTGGGGCCACAGCTGTCTGAGCTCAGGGCCAACTTCTGACTCTGTGTTCAGTGATCTGTCCTAGTAGGCTTGGAGGATCATATAGGGTGGTGAGGATTGAACCGATTTGACTGTGTGAAAGCAAGCACTCAATCTTCTGTACTATCACTATAGGCCCTGCTTATGAATTTTTTCATGCCCACCTGGGTCACAATCAGCCTCCATGCTGACGACAACCTCTGTCATCTCTTTGGGTCACATATATTGCATATCCATACATCCAAAACTCCACTAAGTGCTGCTTGTACCCTGAGTTGTGTGATCATATAAGCAGCTGTATGACAGATTTAAGTATCTCACCTTGTACTACACACACACACACTTACACTTCCTGTCACTGATTGAGGACCAGTAGAGAACTAATACTCAACCAATCGGTCAGAAAGATCCCAGTGACATGAATTATAAAGAATCAACCTGGAGCAAAGCAGGGTCACACTGGGGAAACCCTGTAGAAGTCCACCATGTTCCGTGAGTGAAGACAAGCAGAGCTCATTCTACTTGTACCAAGGGGTTCTGTAATGAATCAGATAATTATTTAGTGACACCATGATGAGGGCATTTAGTGACCTCAAGGAAGCGATGGTACTGATAGTCAGTAAAGCACAAGAAAGTTTGTTAGAGGAAATGGTAATATTATAATCTCAAGTGACAGTACTGGAGTGTGGGAGCTGAAATTAAAAATTCAACTGATGCCTTCAAAAAGAAGGCCTCATTAGCAGAGTAATAGCAGCTGGGGGAAAAAATTGGTGAGATCCAAGGTAAAAAGCAGGAACCTCTTGAAAACAAGAGATGATGGCGGTAAGTCTATGAAGAAATAAGCAGCACACTAGATAACTATTGAATGAGTTCACGAGAAACAATATAAGACTTATCAAAGTCTCTGAGGAATAGAAGTATTAATTTTACAAAGAACCACTGTCCAAAAAGTCCATAGAAAAGAATTTCCCAGTGCTGAGTAGTGCATGCACCCAGATCCAAAAGGTCTGAAGGGTCCCAGATAAAACAGAAACAAAAGAAAAACTCCAAGACATATTGTAATTAGAATGACAAATGTCAAATATAAAGACAGAATATTTAAAGCAGGAAGATAAAAAAGTAATTTACTTATAAAGGAACTATTTTAAGATTCACAGCAGATGTATAAAATTAGACTTTTCAGGCCAAAAGAGAATGATGTGATATAGTCAAAATTAAAAATTCAATGACATTAACACCTTACCAAGAATATTCTATCCAGCTATATTATCATTCAGATTTGAAGGAATAATACAAAGCCTCATGAAAAAGTAACACTTTAGGTAGTGGAAACAGTTTGTCAAATTGCCATTTTGAGAATAAATTTTCTCATCTATATAATAGAGAATACATTGTACAATATGCTATGATTTTTTTCTTTTTGGTTTATACATTAGATTTACAAAGGAAGGCTAACGTTTTCAATTAAATGTTGTAATTGCAAGTAATAAACAGGTAATTGAAATAAATGGGAAACTAAAAACATCAAAAGAGGAAGTAATAGTGCATAATAAAGGAGTAAGCAGCATAGGTATTCAGGAATAGGAACATTTGTTTTGGTTAGAATCATAAGGGACTTTTTTAGATAAATAGTGAGAATTGGTACATACAGAAGAGAGTGTCTAATTCCAAAGTAAACTGACTTAAAAATTCAGTATCTGACATTTAATATTTATGTATGTCAGGCTGATGAACAAGGCTAGCACATAAAATAAAGTTTTAAAACATATGTAAAATATCCTTTAAATTAATCTGGATAGCAAAACATTCCTATTATTGATTTACCAATCCAATATAGTCCTGGAAAAGTAGAAACATGAAGGCTTAATTCACATGGTGGCTGAGAAAAGTTATTGTCACTGTCACTGTCACTGTCCTCCATTGTTCATGGATTTGCTCTAGCAGGCCCAATAATGTCTCCATTGTGACACTTGTTACTGTGTTTGGCATATCAAATGCATCACAGGTAGCTTGCCAGGCTTTGCCAAAGTCATTTAAATTTAAAAACACCAATAATTTATAGTTTAGCATATGAAAAGTAATTGACTAGATATTCCTTCCTTCCTCCCTCCCTCCCTTCCTCCCTTCCTCCCTTCCTTCCTCCCTTCCTTCCTTTCTTCTATGAATAATACACTGAATTTATACATTTAGAATGCCTGATAGCTCTCATATGGCAGCAAGTAAAAATCACCTGATGAGTAATTAAAAATATACATGACTTTATTCCATTCTTGATTAAATTTGTATGGGTAAAATCTAGGAATCATATTTAAAAAAACACCTAGCTATATCAAATATATGGTTAAGTAGAGATTCAATGAAGTCGTTTTTTAGTTTTGATCCTAAAGATTTTTTTTCCAGCTACATAGAATGATTCAAAAGATTTGAGTCTGAAGAATAAAATCCTAAAAGATCAAAGACAAATCTGAAACCACTTTCTTGTTCACCTTACACTTGGTTAGTAGGGATATGAATAATCCATTAATGGCACATGGATCACAGATGTAATAATGTGATTCACTTTCTCAGATTTTTAGCTAACATAGGCCAGTTAACCCAAACTATATAAATTAATACTCTGACAAAAATATTACTTATATGCCTATGATATTTTTTAAATCTTCGCCAAATCTTAATAAATCACCATTATTTCCCATAATATTACTCAGTAATAGTTAATATTTTTAGACATGTTTGCCATTACTTATTATGAAATGACATATATATATAACATAAAGACACTTTAGCTCTTTTCTGATGAATATTTCTGATATATGGTAAATTGGGTTAAACAGTCATGCTATTAGATACTCATGACGAACCTGACACTGTAATTTTCTTTTCTATCAAGATTCTGCACAACAGAGTTAAAACCAGAAATGTCAATATTACATTATAATGTTTTTATCAAGCACACGTCATGTGAAGAAACTATTTCTCCAAAAATTCTTTGAGTTATATCTTGATGTTAGCTCCCTATAAAAAGTCCTGCCTCATGAATTGAAACTTTAGTATAATTCTGGGAATAATGGTAAAGCAATTAGAATTTTCAGCTCTATCACTATGCTATGGACCAAGAATTTTATGGCTTTTATGTCATAAATAGTAACAAAATAATCAACTCAGTATACTGTTTTATATTTTTAATGTCCTTTTTAAAAATATTTCTTTTGAATTTACCTCCAAATTATTTCCCCAGATGGTCACAGCATTCAATAGCTTAAAATAATTTACATTATAATTTAATTTAATTTCATATTATGTATTTCACTGCATA